AAATAAAGTTTACTTATATTATTATTATTATTAAATAATGTGAATCATCAGCTGAACCTGCAGCAGTGGGTGTGTCCTGCTGAAGAAGATGACGTCGTCAGGATACTCTCTGGTCGAACTGTAGCTTCCATATGTGCTGCTCGGACACTGACAGAGAGGAAAAGAAAGAAGAAAAATGTCAGAAGGAGACATAAAGAAAACATGGTGTCATTTATATTAAAATCAAGTAGATTATTTTGCTACATTTATTTGCTATGTCACAGTGACTGGGTGTAGTCATCAATGTGCATTTGGTACCTTTATGCTTTTTTGTAAACTGTATAACTTCAAACACTAGTTTGTGACGGTTTTTACATGTTTATATAAATAAAACATTGCCTAAATGAAAGCTGTTCAGAGGTTTAACTTACAGTTCCTGGTCGTGGGTAGGGCACCTTGCCTGTAAACTCTGCCCACTTATACTGAGGCCCCTCCTTGTGTAAGAAATTTCCCTTAAAAGCCCGAACGATATCCTCCATCCGGTAAACACACACAGCCGAACCGTTCAGAATATCACTGAGGATGAACAAGGAGGAAGGAAGGAAGGGAGGGAGGAAGGAAGGAAAGAAAGAGAGGAGTCATTAACAGCAACCTTCATCCAGCATTCATTAGTAAAAGCATGGGCTGAGCACGGCTGCCATGGTCTCTAAGCTGTAAGTTAAAGAAGGATGTGATATGAAAAACTCTGAGTCATTGTGGCTTTTCATCTCAAACACGCAGTGAATCTGCTCCAAACCAAAGTTCAGCTTGGATGAACACTCTGCTTTTAGCACATCATCGAACCACAACACATCCCATCCACTGCAGTTAAGGTCATGGTTTACATTTTTGGCAAAGTGTGTCAGAGTTAAAGATTCCAGCAGTGTTTTATGGGCAGAGCTGCTAGAAACAGAACAGCTAGAAAGGCCCTGTTGCGATTGTAACGGTCACACAGTGGTTTCACTCAGTTTACACAGCTGACACATACTGTAGAGTTGTAAAAATTATACTGTGACTGATTTATCAGGAATCTCTGATGACAACAACTGCAAAACTTCTGCAAAGCCGACACTGCTGATAGTTACATCCAAATAAAATCCAATGTTAACACAAATATAATAATACATAGTTTGCTTGTAGATTCACTTGTTGACAAACTGTTCCAAACATTTCTCAAGAATCACATTTTGGTGGCTGACATAATGTGAAGGTGAGCAGTGGAATGACAGATTTCCTATCTTAGAGTCACCTCTTTCCGACTCACTATGCTGGATTTTAATCAAGCCCTTTTAACTATTTTCCAATCCGAAACTAAGTGCCCACATTCAGGATTGGCTGACATCTGGCAAAAGGCGGGGTACACCCCTGAGGCAGAGAGGGTCATCTCACCTCTGCATTCCAAAATGTCCTTGGTGAGCAAGATACTGAACCCCAAATGGCCCCTGACAGCTGTGTCTACAGTGTGAATGAATGTGTGTGAAAAGGTAAATGCTACTTCTTCTGTAAAGCTCTTTGAGTGGTTGGTAAGACTGGAAAAGCGCTTTATAAATACAAGCCATTTACAGGTTGCCAGCATATCACAGGGCTGACGTACAGTGACAAACAACCATTCTCATCTCAAGGCAGTTTAGATTGTACAATTATTATAAGCTGCATGTCTTTGGATCTGACGTGAACCATAAACCTTTTGGCTGCAAGGCAGAGAAAACAATTTATTATTTCCAGAAGTTTTGGGTCTTTGTGTATCCCCTCTAACTAATCAGAAATCACCAAAGCGATTACTCAATTTATCGTAGGAATATTAGTACCAGTGTTTGAAGGGCATTTATAAATCAAGGCAAGAATTCACCTCCATGGACAGAAAGAGACAAAGGTTGTAGTTACTGTTAAACCCAACCATAAGCCTCCTTAAAATATTCAGTGAAATTTACAACCTGCCATATTTTGATAATCAGTTAAGCCATAAATGTTGCTTAAAATACCAAAAACACACAAATGAACATAAGTATTATTGAATATGCAAATGCATTATTAAATTAGAAGAAATATAATTGAATGAAAGACAATGACAAAACCTAAAAAACACTTCAGAACAGTAAGGGTCAGTAGCAAAATAAAATCAATCACCTCTGTCTAACACATTGCATGGGATATATGGACAATTAATAAAAAAAGAAAAGGTGGATAAAAAAAATGAATAAAAGCAGAAATCAGAGGATAAATCCGCTGAAAAACATCTGTGTGTGAAATCATTACTGCAGCATAGAGAGAAGTTTCCATTCAGGAGGAATGACCTTTCTGCACTCCGCACTTCTGTGGTTGGGACCCCACCCCTGAGTGATGCTTTGGATTTTGCACACTTTCCAAAACCCAAGATGCGCTGGCGTCCAGCTCTGAAGCTGGCTTATTCTCAGAGCATGTGTTGCTGTCATTCAGTTTGGAGAAAAAAACAAACTATTGGCTTTCACTTGCTCATTTGTGCTGGTTTTTCCTTACTTTATATACTTCACCCACTTTCAGTCAGTGCCTATGTTTTATTCTTGTTTTTTTTTTGTCTGCAAACTGTATTTGTTCACCTGTTGTCTGTCTTTAACACCCAGTCTTAATGAGGACCTCTCTTCTGTTTTCTGTTCATCTCTCTGTGTTTAAATGTCTGTCTGCCGTCTATCATGTCACTGCTCTGTTCCAGATGTAACAGAGATATTTTTCTCTCCCTCTCCTTGGGGATCAATAAAGTATTTCTGATTATGTTATGAATGTCTCTCACACTTAATTGTTACTAGTTTGCAGATACTAACAGAAAGCCTGTTGCACGCACACTAATAAAGCCCATTTCATTTCTGCTTTATATGTACCATGTTTTACCATGGATTTTAATCAAGTTTGTTGTTGCACAGCATGTAGTTGTTCTGGTTTGACCTCCATATATGGGTAAAAAATTATTTTGTAGTTTTTCTCTCATGACTTTCTTTTTCTCAAGGTCTAAAAGTAGCTTGAGGTCAGAGAGAGATATTATGGGCTGCGTCTTGAAATGAGAGAGTTTGATTCAAAAGGGTTGGGGTGACTGTGTGTGAGGATACAAGTCAAGATCCACACACACACACACACACACACACACGTTGACATCATGGCTCAGATTTTCTCTTGTCTTGCCTTTCATTCCAATCATGATGAAGCAAACTATAGAGCAATGCAGTGGTTGATTTCTTGATTTAAGGATAAAATTTAATGAAAAGTAACTTTTTTCAACTCCTCTCAACCAGTTCTCCACATCACAATATAATCCAGGTCCATATACAGTTAATATAAAGCTGCATCTATATTATATGTATAAAACTTTATCATTCACATCTTGGAAACAAGAAGAGAGAAATCTCATAATTGGCCCCATGACATCTGCCCTTAAATCAATGACTCATCTGTTCAATTTCAAGTTTCAGTTATACACCTGCAGTACCTACTGCTGCCTCTGGGGGCAGCAAAAGTACATAACTGTGTAAGGCCCAGGACAAACTGATTACGTTTCATATGTGAAACATTTGGTTTTCATTCTGGCTGCAATGTAAGCATGTGAGAGTGGACACACCGCCTGTGTCAGAAGCTGCAATGGGTCATCTCGTCATCAAGTTGAGGCTATATTTAATGTGTGATAATTATGCAAAAAATATACAATAGATCCGTTTATCGTCATGACATCATAGCATTAGTAGCATTACAATAAGGAACTTTTTTTCGTTGGTTACGGCGCCTCTGTGGAGAAAGCCGTAGTGTTTCCATTATCACCTGTTGTAAAAACCTGGTAGTGAAAAAAAGACACGTAGCGAGTTCAAGAAACAAACTGCGACACTGCAGCTCTCTTTGGATTGTTTCTACTGTGATGATGTAACATGAAACAAGGACTGCATCAGTTTCCATCCTCTTCTCAGACCACTGTGTCTCTGCTCAACATGCAAACAGTACCAAAGCACGACAAGGGGATGGTTAAAAAATGTAAATACGATACTCAGCATATTCATATAAAAATAAAGATTCAGAAAATATGAATCCATTTGTCAGTAAAAATCAATCTTCTAGTTTATAGAAAAAGCTAATTTTCTCCCTGATTGTCTCATTTGCTTCCACCTCTTCCATTTCCTCTCTTCTCTGCCTAAACATTGGATTTTCCAAATCATTACTCTGACTTCTCAGGCATTGAGAATAGTTAATAGAAAAAGGTAATTTTCTCCATGATTGTCTCATTTGCTCTTTTATGACATAAGGATACATAAAAAAAGACAGTTTCAAACTCACTTAAAAACTGCTTGTAGGGTTTAAACTGAAAAATTTCAGTATAGTTTCAATGTCTGGTGGACTGTCTCCTGATTGAAGGTAAACAAATATAATGTGCCTTGTTTCTAGTTACAATCCAACTACCCACACCGCTCATCAATGCAGGCAGAGATGCTGCAACCATTCGCTCCGCTCATCAATGCTGGATGATTATTATTATTTATGGACATCATCCAAGGCAAACTCAGGGTAGAAAGACAGGGCTGGCAGGAGCAGCAATGCAGCAGACAGTGTTGTGGACATGTGTGAGCTGCAGTGAGGTAGCTGTCCCTGGTGTAATGCAGCTTTGATTCCTTTTGGTTTTAGTGGATCAGCTAGTCTTAATATATCTTTAAGGATTTTTGTGTTTTTGCATCACTATGAGTGATCCGTGCTCTAACAAAATTTCTCCACCCAGTGGAAATTTATGACAGCCCCAGTCCCTCCCAGCCATCACGCCACTGGAATTTTTTTTATCAACACAAGGGTGCGCAAATTATAAACTACAATTTGAAGTTACTCAGCTCTGAGGTTTTTTGTTTTGCAGAGGAACATACCTCGACGTGGTGAACAGGCCGTAGATGAGAGGGTTCTTCTTGTCTTTCCCCTGGAGGATAAAGATGTCCTCTGGATAGAGAGAATAGGGAATGAGAAAGGAAGACAAGGAAAATAGATAAACGTTAGTAATACTACAGTAGACATTATAAATAAAAACCTTACAGCAGAAGTGATACATCTGTTGTTTGTGTTTTTGTTAGTGTGTAATGTTCATGAATCTGTGTAAATGTCTATGTGCTAGGGGGTGGTATTTGCTGCTCATTAATTGTACGCCTGTGTGTTTGTGTGTGTGTGTGCGTGTGTGCATCTATCAGTCTGACTGTGTGACTAATAGCATCAGGCGGGATGGCTGCATGGCTGACTGGCTGCTTGTAATGAATCTGTAGCCATTAATAACCGGCCACAGTGGGAGAGCTGAGCGCTCAGGCCACCACAGGAGAACGACACCTGCTGTCACACACACTAACACCACGCCTCAGCCTTCGCTCTTTATTTAAAACACAGTGGATCGCATGTGATGTGTTTTTTTCACTTTGGTGTTGCTTCGACTGTCGTCCCTCATACTGTGCAATCAGGTGGAGTGTAGATTTTCTCTTGTTCCATCTGTCTGTCTTTCTAACCTGATAACTCATCAGCCATCGGACCAAATTTGACAATTTTTTAAATGGTGTCCAAGCATTTGAACTTAAAATTGATTGTGATTGTGACCCTAAGTCTTGATATTCACAGATTTTATATGATGCCTCTTTGACAAATGACAATAATTAAAACTTTTTGTACCAAGTTGGCACAATAGCAACACCCTGGGCGGAAGGTCAGAATCAATCTATCACATTGTTGGTAAAATGAATTTACTAATAAAAAATACATCCCCTAAAGATTTAATTAAAGGTATCCTGCAGAGTTTTGACCACTACTAACATCATGGAGTAACACTTTGGTGAGCTTATCCAATTTGGCTGTAACCTTCAAAAGTCTGAGAAGTTGTTTTTAACAAACAAACACAACTACTCTTCCATATTATTCACATACTGTGATTTCTGTCCTCGGGCTAGTCAGTGTGATTTCTTTTAATCCCAAATTACAATAGAAACAAAGCATTTCACAGTTCACAGATGAACAGATTGACAGAAAAGCAGACAAACAAACAGACAAACAGATGGCAACTAATGAAAACTGAAAAATGTCTTCAAAAGACTCTAGTTTACAAAGTCACAAACAATCTAAATTAATTAGTCGCTCAGCAAATGTAACTGCAGACAGCTCCATATGGTGTAGTGAGGTATTCCTGACTTCTAAGAGGCTTGGCTCCTTTACCTCTACAGCCAAACTGACACAAATCAGCCCACAATCCTGCCATCATCACGAAATACATCCATTACTTGATTTTTAAATCTGTCATGAGACATATAATTTACTGTTCAAGACACCGGTCTACCAATTAAAATTGTATGGGTGTAAAACACTGTGGAGCTGATTTCCCTCTCTTGAAATGATTAACTGTTCCTGTTGTGTAGGGCTGGGCAATATAATAATTGCTCATTAATTGCAATCGAGGTAAAAGTTTGAAATAATGGTGATATTGATTTAAAGTCACATCGCCCAGCCCGACTGTGTTTTCTACTCTAAAAAGGTTTCACATATTGTAAATCAGATAACGTTAAACAAGTCCACTGCAGATGTCATAACTTTCTATTGCCAATTTTGAGAAGCTCAGGAATTTTGTGCAAACAACAAAATATCTGAGTTCAAAAATAGAGTTTGAGCAAAAGCAGAGCAAATCTAAGCACGGGCAGGGGCTATTCGAGTGTGAGCACAGCCTTTTGAGTGAGAGCAATACAAAATCTGGACGTGAAAGTCCTGCTCTCAAACTGAATGACTCCTCTCTTCAATAAAGATAGAAACATATAAAAACATGATATTTATACATAATGTTGAAATGTGTGATTTATTAGCTCATGATCATTACAGTTTAACACAATTTAAACTTTTCAACTCCATTTCTCAGGTGTTGTTCATTATTGTATAATTTAGTAGTCTGCTGTCACAGCTCCACCTTCGTTTTCACAGTCATATAATAGTCAAAGATTTTCTGTTTTGCACTGTTGTCTGAGATAAGATTTGAAAATGTTTTTACCATCGCATCACAGTAGAGAACAGAGACCTTTCTTTCCTGTGTGGCATGCTGGGATAATCTATAAATATGTGTCTTGACTTTGCTCAGAGGATACGGTTGGCAAACAACTTTAAATGTCTTAGAAACTCTATAAAAAGGATTTAACTGAAAAGAGCTGAGGTCGATGTTGAGATATAGAGAGTTTGCAGCAATGAAGGTTGGAAAAGCTTGTTTCAAACAAGGTCTGCATGTGTCTCTATACTCTTATTCTCCTCTATTCTCTTTTCTTCCCTTTACACCATCATCTTTTCTCCCACACTGAGGCAGAGATGTTGCTGTGGTGACTGAGATGATTAAGCGTATCATCATTCTCACATTCCTGTCATTCCTGCTGCTTCAGGTGGCCTCCATGGAACTACAGCCCTGCAGGAAGCCTAATCTCATTTCATTTCATCTCTCACACACACACACACACACACACACACCCACCCACACACCCACACACCCACCCACACACACACACACACACACACACACACACACACATTGACAGACATCAATCTAAGAGAAAGTAGAATTACTGCCTTGTTATATGCCAATCAGTCAAGTTGCAGACTTACTGTATATGTGATATGAAGACTTTGATGGAATCTAATTAAAGGTATTGTGTCTCATTCTTATTTGTCACACAGGATTTATGAATTAATATCATGCGAGTTGACTATGTAAAGCTTCGTTGCTTTTGTTCTGCTGCATGTCTTTACTCCAAGTTCATTGAGAGAAACAGAGTCAAAGTGCATCCGTGGTATGAATATGTAAGTTACTATAAAGAAGCTTTGATATTGTCAATATTATGATGTCAAAGTGAAGGTGACCTTTGACCTTTTGGATATGAATTGTCATCATGACATTGTTTTATTCAATTACAAACGTACAGTGTCATGGGATAGATAAAATCCGCCAGTTAACTGACAGAGAGCAGGCTGCTGTAACTTTTCATCTTGAGCTGCTAGTGACTGTCAACTCTGCCACACCAGCTACTGTAAATGCAAATCAATATTTGTGAGACAGCAGAGTTGAACAGCAGAAGCTCCAAGAAGGCAATAGTCCATAAAAGTCACACAAAGAGGCCCTTCAGCTGTTAGTACAACTCCTCACACTCCTGAACAATAAAACAAATTCTTCATAAAAATTCTTGAGTCCAAGTGAACATTTCTGGTAATTTTAAGAAATTCCCTGGTGTCATTCCTGAGATTTCCCCATTGGCAAGAACAGGACGAGCTGACAACCTGAAACATTAAGCCGGCGACCATAGCTGATGGCAGCAAGAGGCATAATGAAAGCAATCAGCAGGACCCTTAGGACATAGAAGGGAGGATTATGGGTAATTTACAGCCTGCAGCCTACACATTGCTCACTTCCCGAATCCCTTATTCATTATATCGCTTCAAGATTGAATTTTCTTTAGTGCGTACCTTTTTCTCTCTACTGCTTCATGTGTATCTCATCCCTCCATCTATTTTTTTCTTTCTTCTCCATTTTTCTTATCATTTCAAACTTGGTTTTTCTTTACTGCTTACATCCTTCAAGGAATACCACTCTGTCTTCCCCTCCTTTCATTTATCAAAACTTTTATCATATCTCCATTTTCTTTTTTTTCTCTATTCTATTTGTCTTAAAGTTTTTCACAGTGGTTCTGATTTATTACTTTGGATGATATATATTCTGTTTGGTGAATCCAAAGCACCTCAACATTTTTCACAGAGGGGATGATCGAGAGACTCAAAAGAAGGGCAGTGAAAGATTTACATCTCAACCTGGTGGAAGTCATTACAGTACAGATGAAAGAGCAACTCCCCTTGAATCTGGTGGGAACATGTTCATTGGGCGATTGGATTGTGATGAGATAGAGAAAAGAAGAGATACAAATCCATTTGAAAGAGCACTAAATATGCACCCAACCTCTGATCTTCCAAACAACATCTGCAGAACTGGTCAGAGCCATATTTGGCCATGTTGACAACAAGTGTTGGTGATATTTGTCTGCAGGACACATGTTTGATATTTGGAATGGTGAATAAACTTTTATGTGCAGAGGTGAATATGAAGCAAAAAGGCCAATGGATAGCAGACAGTTGAGGAAAAGAATATTTGTCAATGTATATACAAACAGGATTCAAATGTTTATTTTAAAGTGCTGTAAAAGGTACAAAGTGTCCCTGCTGACAGCCAAACAGGTAATGATTCTCAGATAAGGAATATACTGCGATGTGGGATAAGATTGGGGTTAATTTGGTTGTTAGATGTCTAGGTTACATTTAATATTAGGCAAATACTACTCTGCCGTTCACAACAAGGCAACAACATCAAAAGTAAGTTACTGTACACTACAAAGAAAAAAAGTATTTTCCTATTTTAAAAAAGTTGAGCCAAATTCAGTAAAACAGCTTGAACCCAGTACAATCTCTCGAGTAGTGTCTACTCTGAGCCCATCATCCAGCAGAGTGGCGCAGCGGAAGCGTGCTGGGCCCATAACCCAGAGGTCGATGGATTGAAACCATCCTCTGCTATAAATTTTCCACCAAGTTGTTTTAATATATAATCGCCTTGAGTGGGAAGAAATTAAGACGATCACTGTGTCAGGTTACTAAAACATAGAGTCATACATCTGTTGATGCTTCCAACATCAACAACAACCTTGTCTTTAGTATACTGGAGAAAAGAGGCCACATAGCCTGCAGATATGCTCAGTTCAATATTAAAAAAGTGCAAAAACTCCATGCAAACTTTGGTAATCCCAGTATGGTAAAAATGCTGAGTCCCACCTTGTGTTTCAAAGTTAGTCAGACTCTCTTTCTTCTCAGCACCTCAGTGTGAATTCAGCTCCGCATGAAAACAGTTAGACTTTGGAAGATTCAGCCAGAACCACATATTTCTTTCAACAGACTTTG